ATAGTCTAGAGTGTGTATAGGGATTGGACAGGTAAGGGGGGTACCCCTCCATCCCACATCTTGCCTGGTATATTTTCTTATGGACAATATGGGCAATTATTTTTAATCTAATGAACTTTCAGGAATAGGGAATCATCCCAATTTTTTGGTTTTGTTTTAAACCTCATGACTTGCTTCAGTTAAACTTGGCAGAAAAAATAAGACATTTCAGAGTCACTTTCTGTGCTAGGTGATCCCGTTCCTTTACCTGCATGTACATGTGCAGCAATATCCACATACTGGATATGAAGTTTATGCCGTGATCGACAGAAATGAGAGCTTATTTCCAGAAAGTGTGCACTTGTCTTGGAGTCATTGCCACTCTGCTGCACAATTACCATTATCTGTTTGTTTACAATGTGTCTGGGGAGACCCTGCAGTGTCATACGGTTGAATGACGTCAATGCCAGGGGCTGGTTTAAAGTACGAACATGTTGTACACCAGCGCTGACATCTCAATGCCCCAGTTTGCGACACCTTTAGGGTTTTCATGTCATTTCAATATACAATGTATGCAGTTCATCCTGAATGTAGGCAGAAGAGCTTCCATGATCTGCTACCTCTCCTTTGTGCACTGGTGTGGAAGGTGGGAAGAATCATGATTCAAACTTTCCATGACCTTACCAACTCAAGAAAAAAAAAACAGGGAGAGAAGAGGCACCCAAGGATTTTTTTCACTCAAATTCTGGCACTTTTGGTGAAATTAAACAATACAAACTGCTCATGTCCATGACAGTGAAATGGCCTTATTCGAGGTGGATACCAGGGGAAAGTCAGGTATTTCAAACTCCAACCCAGGGGTTGTTGTATGTTTTGTATTGTATGTTTGAATTTCAAATATAAAATGAACTTTTGTAACCACCACCCCTATCATTATAAAGGGTACATGCAGAACCACCGAATTTTATGAGTATAACTGTACTAACAAGAGTATAAGGTGTTGAACAGTACTGCCAAAAAACTGATATTTGACTGACTGATCCGCATGAAGCTTGCTGGTGTCTGAGTATCTCCATACTACTCAGCAAGAATGTCAACATTTTCAATCATTGCATGCTTGGATGTACACTACGAGATACCTTTAACTAGAGGTTCAGTGGCTTGGCTATTGATAGAGGCTTAAAGTGAGCATAGGGGTCATGCTGGTTACTTCTGATTTGAAGGAATGCGACACAAACAATCCTTTATTATTAGGTTTTTGTACCGGCCACAGAACATACGGGTGCAATGAGAAGTTTTCCTACAAATTCAGTTGACTGATTTACTTGGGGGGGTTGTTTAGTTTTTATGTATGGCAAAATATAGTTATACATGGTGGCCATGGTAAATATTGAGTGCAGTTATCCAACAATGCATAATAAAAAAATGGCTCCAACAGCCGAGTAAAATACCACTTAGGTTTTTAATTTCTTGATTTGTGCCATTAATTTCCCTCTGACTCAAACCAAGTGACTTCCAGGAACTCTCCCTTTGTCCAGTCTGGTAGGTGATATGGTATTTTGCGTTTTCTTTGAGCAAAGATATCTTTTCAGGGTAGTGTCACTAGTGTGAAGTCCAAGATCTACACATACATGCCTGAGAGACATAAAGAAACCATGTATATATTACCGGGCAAATCCTTCCAGACAGTGTGATTCACTTTCTGAGAAAAACTCAGCTGCATGTCATTCCTCTTAAGATTGCCTCTCAGTCATATGACCAAGTCTTGGCCACCCATCTCTATGCATCAATGTACAGAGACTGGATGAACACCAACCAGCTTAGATCATGGGACCAGCTGTCTTTGTGAGAATTCCACTCAGCATAACCAACGTCTAGGGACAACCACCATGACAGCGGCAAAGCTATACCCCATTTTTGAAATGGAATTGCAAGCAGCCCAGGGACTTAATCGCATCACATGCTTGGCAGAATCACTGCAGGCGTGCAGTGCAATAAAGTCCTCAGGGAATGTATCATTCATACTTGCACAACCACAGGCAAGGCCCCCCTGTCTGCTGCTACCCACCCCACACCTCTCACGCCTTCTTTTCCATTTCCCAGCTCTCTTCACACCTCAAACAAATTTGGGTATCCAAGGTCAACCTTTGATACTGTGGGTAAGGCTGGTCAATGCCACAGCCAGTTCTATGGCAGAAGCATCAGTCT